GTCAAAATACAGGAATACACACATTGTCAATTCCCTTAGTGTCTTTGTTATTTTCTATCCTTGGAAGTGACTTGTATCATAGTCTTAATTAATGAAGACTTCCATAAGATGTATGTGAAGTATGGACCAGAAGTGACCTATAGAAAGACAACTTCATTTTTGGTACTTAACTAAACTATACAATAACTTTACAATATCTACAAAACTAACACTAAATTGAATTTAATTCCATCAGCTCATGTTATGTCTCAATATTATGGACTAACAAGAGTAAGGAGCACATAGAAGTTAGTCAAAGATAATCTTTCCACAGTTTTGTTACTTTACAAAATCTAAAAATTGTTTTGGGGACTGAAGAGATGGTTCAACAGTTAAGAGCACTGGCTGCTCTTGCAGAGAACCCAAGTTCAATCACCAGTACCTACATGGCAGCTAACAACCATCCATAACTCCATCTTCATGGGATCTGACACCATCTTCTGACCTCTGTGGGCATTGTACGACATCGGTATACTTACACATATGCAGGCAATACATGTAAAATAAAAATAATAAATTCTGTTAAATACTGTTTAAAGATTTTCTTATAATGTGTATTTGTTTTTAGCCAATAAAACATACTCTAGTAATGAAGATGCCATTAAAAGATAATGAGGGAATGAACCTATAATGTAAACATAAAAAACATCACTAGTAATAATCATATATAGAGATTAGAAACACATGTGCAAACATCTTAATGTCAATTACATTGAAAATGAATTTCTCTGTATGAAACTGTGTATTTTAATAATGAAATGGAGATCTTTTTTAAATGTTAAAACCTCATTTAATTTAATGTCTTGTCTTATAGGGTTTATACTGAGTAAAATATTGTATAACTGTAACAATTCAACTGTAAACCTAAAAATTTACAGCCAATTTTGAAAAAGATGCATCTTAACTCAGAAAATTGTTATTGAACATGTCAATGCTGTTGTAATGAGATTCTTCTTCTAAGTATGTGGTTATTAAATAAATAATAAACTGAAAAAAATCTAAAAAAAAATTCTAGAACTATGTATTCAGATCTTCAATTTGACAGATAGAATTAGCGTTGTTGGGGAATTGCTTTATGTGCTCCAGCCAGGAAAACTGAAATTTCCTTGGACAGCATGTATTTCAAATAACATTTATAAAGCTCTCCAAACACGCCTCTTAGTTAACCCAAGTTTTATATTCATAACAGTCTCCCACAGAAGCATTGGTTATGAGACAATACTGCATGTCTCAGAGTTTAAAGGCATTAGCTTCAAATGTGATTGTAGCTTATAACATGCAAACAAAATAATCAATTAAACCAGAGTAACTCAGAGTACGATATCAATGAGATATTTGATCATTCATGAATTTGAAATCTAGCCTGTAAGAGAAAGCAACTTGAACACATATTTTTTCACCAAACAAGGAAAATATTGACTTAAATTGCAAACTCCTCTATTTTGTTATTTTCTTTTTGTTTGCATTTATTTTTCTTCTTGACTCTGTGGCCCACTTCAGTACTAGCAGCCTACAGGCACAGAGACCAGGGAAGGTTCCAAGCCACTGATTACTCTAGCATGGGACTATGAGAGGCCCAGGGTGACAGGCCTGCCATAAATACAACTTGTGCATTTTATTTGCATTTTTGTGATTCAATGTTCATTTTAACTTATAAATGTCTTGAACAGACTTATGAATATACCTTTTTCTCTGTACCTACTCTACAACATTTTCTCTGCTATTTCTCATCTTTTGGTTCATCTGCTTTTGTCTCCTTCGTATTTTACTTCTTCTTTTCCCCTTTCTCCATTCCTTCCTCGTTTTACTACATCATTGTTGATATTTTCAGCTGTTAAAAAAACTATACATATTTTCCCCAATCAGCACCCTAATGCTGCCGTCTCTGAGCTTATCATGGGCACAAGTGAAGTATACAATTCTCTCAAACCGCAACTTGACACCAGAACTGCTCATAATCTGTAATTGCAATTGCCCCCCAAATGCTATCGTGAGACATCAGTCCAAGTGAAGACAACTTACCAAAAAGGCACACATAAGAATAAATACTCTATTATCCCTGCTACTGTCCGCTGTGTTGTCGGCACACCCAGCCGTTCCCCGCTACTTGTCCATCTGGTGAATCTAGTCAGCCTATCTAGAGGTCTTTTTTTTAGGAGGGTCAGCTGTTCCTCATCTAGCAGCAATCAGGTGTCAATATTCCTTTACATGAGATTGGGGTCTGCTGTTCACTTTTCCAGTTCTATGCTGGATTACTGTCTGGGAGTCTTTTGGGCCACCCTGGCCAATAACTCAAAGGAAAATATCTCCTCTCTTGCATTGTTTCTTGTTATGTAGCCTTTAGCTATACATATGGCCTCTTAAAAATTGTATTGACCCCATTAATCTTTGGTTATACTTTCCTTTTGGGTGTTTAAGACCATACAGTTGGCCCAGGTAAAACAACTTTATTTTTACTCTTAAGGTCGTTTGAGGATCTGTTCCTCGGGGGTCACATGGGCTTGGTGGGCTTGATAGGGGCCCTTGGCTCCTTTCTTTTACTAGTTCCACCTATGTGAAGATAAGTCAAAGGTTCTGCTCATCCATCATTGGTTTCACTTGGAAGCATGGAGGAAATGATTCCTCTGTGTTGACCCTCCTCTTTGTAGACTGGACACCAGCTCAAGTCCATCTTGTGGGTTCTCCTCAGCCTCCTTGATCAAGAGAACAGGTGACCCACCACAATTACAGGACATTTTGAGAGATGCTCACAGTCCCCTGGAACTAGTCAACCTAGTAGGGCAAGGAGCAAAAACTATCCTATATGTCCCTCTGACCAAATTAGTATAGGCCTCAAAGTATGCTTCTTCTAATATACTTTTTTAAAATATTAAAAAATAAATAAATAAATAAATAAATAAATAAATAAATAAATAAGTAAATACAAGTGAGGAAATGGGAGGATGAAATCTATCCTGAGAGATGGGCAAAACACAGTCAAGACAAAGCTATGACACAACAATCCACTATGAGAGGTTCACAAACTCAGAATGGCCATTACCAGAAATAAAAGAGATTCAGAGCCCTACTTTTTAAAGAGAGTCAATGCCAGTACCATGCTGTTTTATTATTATGAATCTGTAGTGTAACTTAAAAGCTGGTGATGTCTCTCCAGAATTCTTTTTGTTCAGGACTGCTTTGGCCATCTTTGGTCTTTTGTCCTTCCACACAAATTTTAAGATTACCTTTTTTCTCTAGTTATGAAGAATGGCTTTGGGATTTTTATTGGATTTACACTGAAGTTTTAGAATGCTTTTGGTAGGAAGGCCGTCTTTGTAATACCAGTTCTTCCTATCCATGAGCATGAAGGATCTTTCCATCTTCTAGCGTCTTCCTTCTTTCTTCATCTTCTTAAAGTTTTTTTGGAAGAGGTCTTTTGTTTTTTTGGTTAGTTTTAGTCCTAGACATTATTTTTGTAAAATTTTTATTGAATTTTTGTGTATTTCATACAGAACATCTTAATCAGTCTTAATTATCTTCATACCCCCTTCCCCACTGGCACTTTCCAGTAGCCCCCACCCCCACTGGAATTCATTCATTCTGTCATTTGTGTTAAGGCCTGTTGTGTCAAGTTAGTGTCCCCAGAGGTCCCTCAGTGCAAGCTCATCCACTGGGGTCTAGTCAGCCTATCTAGAGTCCCTCCAATTAAGGAACAGCTCTTCTTATCCAGCAGTAATGAGCTGCCAATGGTCTGATGCCCATTTCCACAGTTCTGTGCTGTGGTTTTATCTGCTTGAGTTTGCATAGGCCTTGTGCATGCTGACATCATTGCTGTAGGTTTGTGTGAGCAATGTCCCAGCAGCTTGTAAGACTCTAATTCCATATGGACATGCAGTGCCTCCCTGGTTCTTACAATCTTTCCAACCCTTGTTCTGCAATGGTCCCTGAGCCCTGGGTGGGTGGAGTTTAATATAGGAGGCCTGTACAAGGACCCAAACTCTGCAGACTTACTCTCTATGCTTTGACCATTTATTATCTTTTGCATTCCTGGCCCTCTGTTGCATGAGGGAACTTCATTGATGAGAACTGAAAGATGCATTCGTGTTCTCTCTCTATTGCTGAAGACAGGACACACTTTGGACACAGGATTTAGAGCAATGAAGCTGGAACTGACCTGGAAGCCACTTCCCCTGAAGACTAGCACTCATAGCTTTGAAGAACACTATGCAAGCTGCAAAGGGAGAATGTCAATCAATGGTCCAACCCCAGCTTCAAGGCCTAACAGCCACATTAATGACCAGCACAGCAAATGACATTGGTGCAGCAGTGGCATTTTTATCTTAGGGGTAATCAACAGCTACCTAATTGGTAGCATGGTAGTGTAAACATAACTCATATAAGCATACAGCTGCAGAGGCCATAGATCTTAGAGAAAACTCCAAGGCTGTTACATCCTAGAGAAATGAAATTTCTTAATATGTGCAAAATATGGATTCTTATATTTGCAGACAAGCATCCCAGTCACCACTCATCAAAGAAGCTTCTTTTGCAACAGACAGAGACTATTACAGAGTTCCACAACTGGTCACACACAGACATTGTCTGTGAATTATCCAAGCATAAATGGCACATGTACAATACAACCTCCACACCTAAGGCTCATAGATCATAGAACAAGGGGTATAGAAGATACACTTCCCAGACAATTTCACGGCTATTACGAATGAGATTGTTTCCTTGATTTTTTTCAGTCTGTCAATTGTATAGAAGAAGGCTACTGACTTTTTTGTATCATGATATTTATTGAAAGTGTTTATCAGTTCTAAGAGATTGTGGTGGAGTCTTTAGATTCTCTTATGTGTAGAATCATTCTATCTGCAATCAGGAATACATTAACTTCTTTTGTCTTATCTGTAACCCCCCTGGTTCTCTTGTCTTACTGCTATAGCTAGGACTTCAAACACTATATTGAATAAGAGTGGAGAGAGTAGATACTCCATCTTGTTTTTTATCTTGGAGGGAATGATTTGAGCTCTTCTCTGTTTAGCAGGCTTGCCATATATAACCTTTACTGTGGCATAGATCAATGAAACAGAATGGAAGATCCAGATATAAGCCCATGCAGCTGCTGCAACCAATTAACAAAGATGCCAAAACAAACATTCTAAAAAGAGCATTTTCAACAAATGTTGCTGGAAAAACTGGACATGTGGTAGAGAGAAACCAGATCATCATATCTCACCTTGAACAAGGCTCAGCTCAAAATATACCGAGTACCTCAATAAGACGAGATACTTTGAAACTGCTAGAAAAAAGTTGGGAGTATGCTTCAACATATAGGCACTACCAAGAACTTTCTGAACAGGACTCCAGTATCACAGGAAATAAGACCAACAATCAACAAATAGGATCCCATGTTACTAAAAAGTTTCTATACAGGGGCTGGAGAGATGTCTCAGTGGTCAAGAGCACTGGTTGCTCTTTCAGAGATCCTGGGTTCTGTTCCCAGCACCCATATGGTGGCTAAGAACCAATCATAACTCCAGTTCCAGTGGATCAAACACCCTCTTCTGGCCTCTGCAGGCACTGCATGACATGGGTGTACTTATTACAGCCAGGCAATATACTCATACACATAAAATAAAAATAATAAATAATTTTTTAAAAAAGCTTCTGTAGGGCAGAGGAAACTGTCAATCAAGTGAAGAGACAGTCCACAGAACGGAAGAAAGTTTTTACAAACTATACTTTTGTCAGGGGATTAATATCTAGAATGTAAAAGAACTCAAAAAGCTAAACATCAAAAAAAAAAAAAAACAAATAAACTAAACACTAAGTAGATCATCAAGCCTGAACAGAGAATTCTCAAAGAAGAAATATAAATCATTAATAAAAACTTTTAAAAGTATTCAGCAGGAGCTGGAGAGATGGCTCAGCAGTTAAGATCACTGGCTGCTTGCAGAGGACCTGCGTTCATATCCCAGCAACCACATGGCAGCTAACAACTGTCCGTAATCCCAGTTCCAGGGGATCGGACAACCTCTTCTGTCCTCACAGGTGTGTTTACCTACATGCAGGTGATACACTCATACACAAAAAAATAATAAAATATTTTTTTTTAATTTTTTCGAAAGTATTCAGCATCGTCAGTTATCAGGGAAATGCAAATTAAAACTCCACTGTGATTCCATCTCACCCCATTCAGAATGGTTATCATCAAGAAATCAAATGGGAACACATTCTGCTAGGTATGCAGGGGAAGAGGAAGCCTTAGGGCATAGACTGGAGCAGCCACTGTGGAAATCAGTGTGGTGTGGAAGTTTCTCAAAAAGCTAGAAATAGAACTACCATTTGACCCAACCGTACCCTCCTAGGCAGATATCCAAAGGACTTTATAGCCTACTTCAGAGATACTTCCTCAATCATGGTCATTGCTGCTCTATACACAATAGCCAGGACCTGGAAACAACCGCTCATCAACTGATGAATGGATAATGAAATGTGGTACATATACATAATGGAATTTTTCTTCAGCTGTAAAACAAACTAAACTGAAATTTTCAGGCAAATGGTGTTGAAATTAGGGGGAAAATTTATACTGAGTGAAGTAACCCAGGCTCAGAAAGATAAACA